CGGGTGGTGCGGGTTCCGAACATCACAAGTCTTTGAAGGCTACCGTCCCCAGCTTGAAGTTCCTCTCATGAGTGTCCATCTCAACAATGTAGTCGTCCACCATGATGGTCCGTTCCTCTTCTTAAGGATCTCTAGCATCGGGTAGGCTTCGTCCACCAGGATATCGACCTTCTCTGGCACACCGTAGACGTTGGTTCAGATGGGATAGTCGCCACGAAATCAGCAAGGAAGGATAACCACCTCCTCGTTATCGGCTCTTTAAGGAACAACTATGGACGAATTCAATAGAACACGCAAGGTAACGAACCGCTGCCGCCCGCACTGTCAACACCTACGCCATCTCCTCCTCTGTCGAACTGTCCACCACCACTCGCTATGTCAGTTTGCACTACGGCTTCCGTAGCACGTCGGCCGCGATATCACGCCTCTGGTATTCGCGCATTACCATGTAGAACCAAAGATGAAGTCAGCAGCGATTTCTCTCTCCCAAACAACTGTTCTTTATTAATTATTTAATTTTTTTACATTTTTTTTAAATGATGAGATTTTTTTTTTAAAATAACATCGTACTCTTTCAATCATTCATGTATTCTCTTTTCCATGCCTTCTTCTCTTCAAAACGCAACGTGGATGTCATGATTCTAGAAGAGCGTTGCTTGAATGAATGCCTGCAGTCTCGAGAAATCCACGTAATGCGTGGACGAAACGAACAAGAATGTCGATGGTGCTCACTATATAGCGGTCAGCGTGCTTTAAAGTGACTAAAGTACAATCTAATAGACCTTAAATGGCAGTCTCCTACCTCGCCCATGTCTGTAGAATTATACGTTGCATTAGCTCAGCGGCAATGGCGCCCACTACTACAGACGATATCGTCAACGACACGATGGCTTTGTCATTCGACGTTGATAACGGCGAGTTTATCCGTCCGCTCGTATGGAACGGTGGCTGTGTCCAATGTGTACATCTTGTACTTGACCAAATTGATCGATCATGGACGTGATCAAAACCTCGGGGAAGGTGCCATGGTGAGTACTTGTGTGGGGTAAAGTCGAGTAGCGAAACCGTGAGGATCTGTATGAAAAGAGCCAAAGGTGCTGCTAAGCCACGGCCCGGCTGACCCGCTGAGCCGGAACTACGTGCACACCAACGAAGCGGTGCAGCAGACGCCGCTGCAAGAGGAGCAGCAGCAATTTGCTGCCAGCAACCCAGCGAAGGTAGCTACATGTACCCGGTGACCCAAAAGGCCAGCACGTCGACGGTCACGACCAATTCTATCGGCATATGCCCCAAAAACAACCTCCCAAGGCCAAGATTCTTGCGACGACTGAAGACGCCGAGCAGAGCGTCAAGCCGGCCCTCCAGTAGGCCATCAAGAATACGACCGCTATTGCCCAATATGACTCGTGGCCACCAACAAGAGCGTCGACTTTGAACGGGATCAAGGCCGACTGGGTGTTCGACGCGAAGACGCAGACGTTCAAGCACTTGGACATAATGTGCTCCGGCAATGAGGGCTGAAAGGACAAGACCGTGTTTCTCATTGAGAGTGTCGGCACGATCAGGAATGCCCGTGCAAGAGGAAGTATCCACTGTACATCGACTGAACTATCGAGAAACTTTGGTGAGACGATGTGCGACAACGCACTGAGCATCAAGAGCGGCGCCATCTCCAGTGTAACACTCATGGCCA